TAAAACCCACCTGTTTAGAGTTGCTTATGGCTAAATTAGGGTTAGAGTGTGGGTTTTAATGTCTTCGATGCTTTTAATGTTTTTATCTTTACTTTTAATGATGTAAAGCCCCCCCGGAGAGGCGCGGGTCACAAAAATCCGTGTAGGACAGCGAAGTCCTAGCGCAAAATTTCGTGCGACAGGTGGACGGAGCCTGGTGCTGCAAGGTTGGAGACCTTGTCCTGTTAGGCGGCGGGGCCTGGATAATACCCTTGTTAAACAAATGGTTTAACAAGGGTAACTTAAAATTCCATAACAAAAGTGTGATTGTGAGAGAGATTGGAGGTGTAAATACATTTAACTGAAGTCCTAAAAGGGGAACAGGTTTTAATGTTTTTATTTTATTTTATTTTTTCAAAATCTCTTTATCTTTCTTACTGTTTATTCAATGTCACATGCTGTTTTTTGTTGTTTTTTTAATTATGTAAAGCACTTTGAAATGCCTTGTTGCTGAAATGTGCTATACAAATAAAATTTGATTGATTGATTAAAAATTAGAGACAGAAAATTATTTTATGTATCATTATTCTCTTTTTTAAAGGAAGATTCTTGTTAATTTGTCTGTATTCCACTGTGCTGTATTGTATTTATGCTGACTGTAACCTGAGGGACTACAGATAAAACCTAGCCTTTATGGTTAACTCTGTTATATTACGTGATGTACATTGTCCTTTTTGAAATAAATAAACAACATCAACAGGACAGACTAAATAAAACAAACAATTTCAAGGTAAAGGTAAGGTGTAAAAAAAATCATAAAACTACATTCATTTAAATGATTATTGAAATGTTGATTCATATTTCACATGAGCTACAACTAATGGACCTACAGTCTTGAGGTAAAAAAAGGCAGAGCTCTATGTATGTCAGCAGGTTTATAACACAGTTTTCATCTGAACCCCTAAATTCACGAATGTCAATTTTTTTTGTAAGGTTTTTTTTTTGGCACTGGGAGAGTTTATTGTAAGGTAATCACATTTTGATTTCCAAAGAGTCTCCAAAGAGAAATACTTGGGAAACAATTTCTACCAAAGGGACTTTACTTCCCGCTTGCCAACCTGTCTGACACCAAAGCAGAGGTGTTCCTGTTTACACATTAATATAAATGATAAATGTCAGTAAAGAGTGTGTAAGCTTTATGGTGCTGCAGTTTTCATTTTGGGTCCAAATTATACTGGTTTCTTAGTATGTCAAATATTTCTTTTTGATAAAAATGTGATAAATTATGTAATCAATTAATAAATTTTTTATTCACCTTCCACCACTAATTTTCAGTGTCAGAAACTTGCACAAGGCAATAAAAGAAAAGGAAAGAACATTGTAAAACATTTGAACATATTTTTATTGGGGAGCTGATTGAAGGAACAACCTGAATGATTATGAACTACATCGTTTCTTTTTGAGCTCATATTTATTTCAACCAAACAAGCTGGTTAACAGAATAAGACTCCTAATTATTTTAACAATTTTATGACAATGTTATGCTGTCAGAGTGTTGGCAGGAATCTCAACAAAAATCAAGCAATAAGAAAAATACCTTTATGTTGTGTTTTTTTTTTTTGTTTTTTGTTTTTTTTTTGTCAGTTTTACACTTATGGTAAAATTTAAGTAAGTGAATTTTAAAAACTACGGAACAATATATCACAATTAAAGAAGAAAAACATCTGGTTCTAGAATTTGGTTGACAACAATAAAATATAAGCTAAGTGTGGAAAAGATCAGATCTTTCTTTGTGACTATGATAAGAATAAGGAGGTATGGTAAGTAGCAACCCAACACTGCAGGTCAAAGAAATTGATTAAATGATAATCAGTGTCTTTTAAAGCAAACGTTTCAGCAGTTTGCTGCACAGTAGCATTCAGGTTTATGTTAATAAAATAATCAAAGACATCAGCAAAATAATCTCACAGAGGCAGTTATTGCTGCCCATCAGTCCGGTCAATCTGGATTTAATATCTCTACAATAGCAGAGAACGCTTATATGTGAATATTTAAAACTTAATTTTTTTTGTTGAAAAGAACTTTAAGATCAGGGAGTGCAGTGCTTGAAAAACTGTAGAAACTGAAAGACGTAAGTGCTATGCTATGTTACCATGTTACCATGCTACCAATTTCAAGAATAGCTGCAAGCAGACAAAGAGGTCAGGCTGCAGAAAATACCACCTGGCATCCCAGAGGGAGTTGTTTGCCTTCAACAACCTAGTGGAGGGCTGGGGTGGGAGGTTGAGGTTTGCCCAAAGCATCAAACAAGCTAGGACTGCCTTTGAGAGTAAGGTAAAGATACACTGCGTCACTTCCTGTTGTTGCTGTGGAGATGTTCGTTTTTGATCTCTTAATTTCATCTAGTTTCTCTGTCCTAGCGTCAGAATAACCTCAGTGAATAACCTCACTGAGTTATTCTGACACTTAAGTATGTTAAAATACATTCTTTCTATTTGTGCTTTTAAGATTTTAGGAACTCTTTGTGTTTCACATTGTTTATTCAGTCTGGTGGTAAGGACTATTTAGCTTACCACCAGACTAGCCCAAGTAAGCATGTTGTGAATGAGAATGCATGTGGACAGGGAGGTTTTTGTTGTTGTTGTTGTTGTTGGATTTCTTTTACAAAAAAAAGTTTTTCTAATGTTTTGAAATTTAGTCTGTTACACTTTTTTGATGCATCTTCTCCAGCTGTGGAAAACACCTGCTCACATGAGTCTGGAGTGGAAAGAAATTGTAAGGAAAGGCAGAAAATATTTGGATAGATTGTCTTTTGTTTGTCTCACTATCTCATAGGATCCATCTATCTGGAACCGCAAAGGATCAGAGATTCCTCTGGCAGATGCATCCTGTTAACAGAAAAGCTTCCTTACAGTCACAGTTTGACGCGTCAGTGTGTGTTGGAAACAGTTTTCGTATTAGTCATGTGACTTTCTTATGGCGGTGTGCGCACTGACACGGGGTTTTGCTCTATGAGCTTGGTGCATGCACCGATGCATCGGTGTTGCAGGACCCATCACTATTTGCTAGTATGCTAAAATAAAAACAGCTAATTAACTACTGCACTAGTTTTACATGTAATACATGTAATTTTTGAATGTGCCCAGAGGACACTCACTGAGGAGAGAAAGCATTACTGAGCAACCACAAGGTGGGAGAAAGTGGACGGGGGCTGCTGGGTGACAATCATCTTATTTGAAGGCTCAAAATATTGCAAAATTTAAAGAGGTACAATGTGGTGATATTAGGCCATTAAATGCATCCTACGCATCATGTACACCTCCAGCATCAGATCCACAAACACTTGTGGACTGGAAAATCTGGACACAGACTTGCAGCTCATTTTTACATCCCTAAGACTAATTTAGCTCATTGTCATATAAGAAAGTCGGCTGGAAGCATTTGGTTTCTTTATGTACACACAACTGACACTGTCTCACTTTCTAAAGGTTGTGAACTTTTTGTTTTTCTCCTTCCATTAGTGCCAATATGTATGTGCGATGCAACATATTCACACTCGGCTTGTTTAAGGCAGTTTCCGCTTAAGGTAGGAGGTGCTTTGAAAACCTTTTATTCATTGTTTACTAGTGTTTTCAAATGAACACGTACACGAAACAGCCAAGGATCTGACATTAAACTTCAGTTTCTTTAGACCAATTCTGGAGGACAATATTTAGTTTTGTGCTCAGTGTTACACTGAGTATAGGTGAGGAAGGAAAGTCTCTTTAAAATGTTGTTTTTCAGTTAATTTAATCAAATCCAGGAGCAAAATTCTCAAATGATTTTATTTACCAGCTTATTTTACAAAATTCATTCAAAATAAAAACTGTTTTGTGATTTTTCTTCCAAAGGTCTATGGTTTGAAAAAATTAAAAACAGAAAACAAAGTATTTAATTTTGCAGTTTAATAAAAAAATGTTCAATAAATTTTTTTTATTTTATTTTTTTCTCTACAAACTGTTTGATTTTCTGGGAATCCAATGCCAAGGCATTCTCATTTGATGGTTTTTAAAACACACATTCACCAGGCAGTTGGACCTGGTTGGCTGTGATTTGTCACTTTTTTCAACGATTAAAAATACAGCAGGTACAGGCTTCCTATGTAATAGAACTTGTAAGGAAATCCAGTAAATGGAGAGACATCAGCAGTGGCCTTAACCCTTGTGTGTACGAGGACTGAGGCAAATGTTACAAGTGATACAAATGTGGGGTCGGTTGGACCCCATTTTTAAACACAAGGGTTAAAAAACCGGCTGTCTACAGGTTAAGTGTGACATCCATCATTATAGAACAATATGAGAAAANTATTTTGTGTATATTTTATTCAAATTTTGTGCTTTATCCATGGGACCGGTTTTGTCCCTCTTCTCAAGAATCAATGATGTATATATGCATGTGGAAGTCTTGGGTGTCGTTTTCAGAAATGTATTCTAATTTTATTATGGATTTTAATCACCGATTGCCACAGAGAAAATAAAGTTGCACATTTAAGACATATCCACTGGTGGTGTTACATATCTTAAATTGTCCCATTAACAGTTTTTAAGGAAATTAAGTGATGGAATATGATACAAAAGTAACCTGCTGGACAAGAATAATAACAAAGATGAATGCGTGTCATTATGAATAGAAAAGGGAAGTCAGATTTAAAAATGCTTTGGATAATTAGAGATTATCCCAGTCAAGTGTTATATGTCCAGTCTGGTGTTTTCATGGACTGCTCCAACTTCTCATTGCAGTCCTTACCTGTATTTAATGGAAAGCAACTATAAGTCAGAACAAGATGTCTGAAACATCTGTTGATTCCATGTTTATATTGATGCATAATGACTGGACTGGTTTCATTGTCAGCTCAGCTGTATGTCTTTTCACACAGATCATACACAAGATTTTCCACACAGAATATAACTACAGAACATAGCTACACCTTTCCAGCAAATTTCTATCTATCCATAAAGTGTCAGTAGCAGTCAATACAATTTGAGTTTGGAAAATCAGTTTTATTGGACAAGTGAAGTTTAAACGCAACTCAAAGCAGAGCCTTTTAAAGATTGATTTCTAAAACAAATTAAATCCCAAATGCCTTTGTGGTTCAAGTTAATTTATTACAAATATTTAACACCAAGACAACTTTACTTCAGATGCCTGTCTAATTAGGAATCAAGAGAAGCAACATGCTGCCATACCATACTTTTAACAAAACAACTCTTGTTAAAGGATTTTTTAATGTGAGGTTCTGTGAAATTATTAGAGCTAATAGTTGATTCACAACTCGCAGTTGGACCCAAAATTCCCTCCATCTTGGCGAAGCTGCAGAGGGCTGGTCTGGCAGACTCTGCTTAACTCTGACTGGAACAAAACTCACTTTAAAAAATACCAACTCAAAGTCTAACTTTGTACACAATGAGGTGAATCACTGTGAAGGTCCCCTCCATAGCATTTCTTTAAAAGCTGTAGCATCTTTCAAGTCTGTCTGTTCTCAAATTAGTAGAATATTATTATACAAGTTTTAATCTTTCCTTTTCTTTAACAGTCATGTGATCACTCATTCCCACAGGAGCTAACCCCGTTATCTGAATCAGCTGTGTTAGAGCAGGGACACAGAAAAATGAGGGGCTGTAGCTGTTGAAGACTGGAGTTGAATGCCTGGGTTTACAGGAACAAAGTTCTTTTACTGATTACTGAACTGCAGTTCTTTAATTCTGAGGTTTTTCCATTAGTGGATCTGCTCCATCGCTCTCATCAGAGTCCCACACCGTGCCAACATCCTGCACAGCAGCCAGGGACATGTCTGCTTGGACATCCTCCTCATCTGACTGAACCAGTGGCTCCTCCTGCTGCCACTCTGCAGCCCGGTCTGACTGACTGCTGTTTATGGGAGGAACTTGATTCAAGGACTCCAAAGAGGAAGAATTAAGATCTGGACCTATTGAAAGAAGGTAAGAATGGTTAACTTGTATCATTCATAGTTTTTGCTGTGTCTCAGCGCTAACTCTAGCCAGTTACATCTGATGTTGTAGAGGACTGAATATAGAGACAGGAATTCCTTTAAATCCTCAAATTTAAACAAACCTGAGGTCAGAGAGGATCCACAACTGGAATCTTCACCAGTGGAATTAAGAAAATCATCCAGGGCCTCCAGGTCTGATAAGTTAATAAATGTCATCTGATCTAGAACAGCCACATCGACCCCTGCAGACTCTGCCAACACACATCAGCATACAGTTAGAATTCTGGTGCACCAAAACTCCTTTCAACTGTCCATTCAATTTTACTTAGGTAGCAAGATGAAACCTGGTACATTTATGTTTATCTGATCATTCAGATTGATCCCGTCTTCAGTGGTGCTTAAAATATATGTTTAAAGAAAAAGAAGTCACCTTTGCCCTGTAGGCATCCAGTGGACAGATACTTCTCTACGTCTTGGTTGAAGGCTTCCTCGTAAACCTTCTGTCGCTCTCGCAGCTTCTGCTGCATAACCAGCTCCATTTCTGCCACTCTCTGAGCATGCTCACACTTCAATTCAGCTACAAAAGAAAACATAAACAATTATTAAATACGCAAGCTTTTTCAAGGGAACTGAAACCACTCCATGCCACCATAAAACCTGACTTTTAGACCCGTTATCTTCATAATGTATTTCACCTTTATAAAAGTCAGTCTAACTGAGACAGCAGACTGATGCTTCAAACAAAGGCAGATCAACAGTCTGTTGAAGGCCACACAGTGTGTCCATGTGTTTCTGTCAGTTACTGATGAATCAAAGCTCAAGTTGATGCAGTGAAGTGAGAGATCATTATGAGGGAGCCATCCAGTTTAGGATTGTTTACTTTGTTGCTTGTTCACCATTATGCAAAACCCCTTTCAATATCACTTGAAAACTTTTTTACTAACCTCCCTCACCCCCACACACACACACACACACACACACACACACACACACACACACACACACAAGTAGAATGCTTCTATGGTTGCCAACGTTGAGAATTTGTTATTCTCTCCATTGAAACAACCTTTAACCTGATTATTTGCCCTGAATTCACCTTAGCCAATTGTGTTGAAAACATGATGTAAGCCTGGATGTCATAATCAATTAATAATAATGTATTAATAATAAATTATACGATTAATAATAAATTGAGCTGAAAATACATAATTACCTACATCATGTGTTTATATTGTCAGCAATAATAATAATAATAAACTAGAAAATTCCTGAAGAAATTTAACCGGGGCCTGCCAAAGTGTGCCCGTCGATTTGGACCCAGCGTTCTGATGCTAAAAATTAGCATTAATGCTAAAGAAAGCTTCAGTGTAGTCAATAACCTGTGGAGAGTCAGAAGCATGTGGACTAAACTTTACCTGTACCATTCAGTATGTTGGATAAGGTCAATTTAGCCAAAATGCTAATAGCATGAATGGTATCAGTAGCATGTGGGGTATGACTAGCATGTTGTCTGTCACTCACTTACTCCATTCAGTATACTAAACATGGCTAATAAGTAAAAAAATTGGCTAAAAGCTTATTTTAGGTAAAATGCTAATGCTAATGCACTGGCTTGCGCAAGCCAGTGCCATAGCTTGAGATGAAATGCTATTAAAGGGTCATATTGTTGCACCTCCATAGGTGGTGCACTAACTCGAGGGAAAAAGATAATTAAACTTAATGTAATTGCACCGCCTGCGGCGATGCACTTCCCCTANAGAAGCCATTTGTTTGTTAAATACTTAATGAAACATATTTACCATGTTTGATGTTTGTTGTAAATGACGTATAGTCACAAAGAACGAGATAATTAGTCAAAGTTTGTCGTTTATTGAACGTTCAGAAATTTCAAAGGCTGTTAAGAGTCACAGCAAAGGTAAAAAAGGTAAAACAACCTGAACAGGTGATCAACTCTAAACCACTGGGACCTTTTTATTCTCCGTCTTCTAAGTGAGATAATGTCTGTATTATTATGTCTTACAGTGGAGAGAGAAAAACTCAAAACAGACTCACAAGGAGTGGGTGTGGGAGTAAGGGAGATAGTTCAGAGTGGCAGAGTCTGATCTGCCCCTGTAGCTTCTAACTGCTGCAGGAACTGAGAGTTAAAAGTCTAACTTGAAATATGCTTGCTCTATAATCCAGACAGAGGAAGGCAATGCAGAAATGTTGAGGAAGAAAAGATGAAGAGGCAGGAAGAGAAGACAAAGCTGCTCTAATCCTGTTTCTTACATTTCAGTAACTAATATTACTAATAAGTGCATTTCTTCATGGTATTCCTGAGGATCCAGAGTCAGTTCCTGTTCTCAGATGACTACTTGAATTGGATTTAATCATGGATAGGAGGCATTCAGATAAAAGGGGACAGCAAAAAAGCCAGGCAATTCTTTATTCTAAGGAAATAAAAAAAGTAGGCAGCTTATACAAAAAATTTTAATGCGTTAATTCAATCTTTTAATCCATGAGCTCCTGTCTCAACACTATGTATGTTTCAGGTAACATAGTGAATCAGTTTGGCTTCTGTTTGAAGATTTAAAATAAGCATTTTCCTCCAAAGCCAAAACTGTTGAAGACACAATAATATATTTGAATGTATTTAAAAATAGAGATTGTTCTTTAGCTTTGGAGGAGCTTTCATCATTTCATTTAGAAGTAAAGATGTTTTCTTCCTAAGCAATCTTTTTAGAACTCAGCGGCAAAAATAGTGATGACCAGAAAGTGGGCTCACATTCTGACTATTTCAAAGTCTATGATAGGCTGCCTTTCCGTTTTAGAATTGATTTCAATAGGCACTGACTGATATTTAAAACTCTTCATGGTCTTTACCCACTATATTTTTCAAACTTGCTGATGTTGTAGAGCAGGGGTCCCCAAACTACGGCCCGCGGGCATCCACATTTGGTCCGGCCTCCTGAACAATACCAGAGAGCATTCGGGTTTTTATTTATTGTATTTTCCGGTTTATATGTGGATTTTTTTTCAACCACCAGGGCGCTCTTTAGCAGGAACTGTGTCCTGTAAACTGTGGGGCGCATTACTGCCATCTGTTGGACTTTTAGGGAACCACTTGACTTTTATGTTATTTAATCAGTATGGTTGTTTGCTAGCGGTAGAGCAGATGAACACGTGACTGTTATGAACGCCGCATTCCAGGTTGAATTCTTCGAAGCAATGTCTGTAAGTAAGTAGCAGCTTATACTTCAAAACGAGCCTTTATGTTAACATATGAGAAATTAATATGTTATAGTTACTTTCCCTCAATGGAATATATACTAGTCAGTCCCAGTGACCGTTTCACTCATGGTTTTTGCCCATGTGCTTTCTGGGTAAAAAAAATCAATTGAGAAACGCACCCCCCGTCAACAATGTTGTCTGGCCCCCCACCAGAGAAGGGAAAAGTTATGTGGCCCTCACAGGAAAAAGTTTGGGGACCACTGTTGTAGAGCTTCTTCCTCTGGGTCCCTCAGGTCTCCCTGAAAAGACCTGCTGTTGGTGTAATGGGAATACTCTCAGACTACCCGAGTCAAAACTCATTGATAAGCCTGTCACAATTAATCAATTAATTGGACTATAAATCAAAATGATTTTGAGAATTTCATTTCAGATTATTAATATTTTTAAGGGTAATTTTGTCTACATAGATTTCATTTTCCACTTTATTTATGGTTTCTGTTGTGTGGGATTTCTCTTTCCATTTTATTTATCATTTTTGGTTGTATTTTATTTTGGATATTTAAAATATCTTCCACAGTCTGAAGTGTTCCATGCAAAAGTAATATGTATTGGTCTTTGGGAGGGTAAACTTGCATTATCATCAATATATTTCTTGAAAATGGTCTCAAAACAAAAATATTGTCATCTCTCACAATAATTACTGGGACAATTTATCCTCCAGCAAAATTTGTTATTGTGACCGGCCTACTCATGAATTCAAAAGCCAACTGAATAAGAACTTGAAGAAAAGTAAACACCAGTCAGGCTTTAACTGCAAATGTTTAGGAGCAAAGTGTAAGCAGTGTAGTTCAAAGTGAGGAAAAACATTGTTAAAAATCTGTTTCACCATTGATGTTCATCTCCAAAAACATTTAATATGATTGCAGCAGTAAAATTATCTCTCTTTTTCAGTGTAGCGATGCAACTTAATTTAAAAATATCACTCATCAAGTGCTATGTTAATTAATTTAAGTATTTTATTATCTGGTGTGATAGCTAAGATACTGGATGAGGGCTGGTGAGGAAAAGAGAGTAGAGAACAGGTAGTTATTGTGACATCTGATTATAATACCCAGAGATCAGAAGAAGGACCTGGGCGTCTGCTGGGAACAGTATGAATGGCATTGCAGGCTTTTTCAGCATTAGTGCAAATGGTTTACTAACCATCAGATTTAGTAAACTCCCCTGGTCAATATACAGCCACATGCTGTCACCAACAAATCAGTGGCCTTACTACAGACCAACTCTTTCAGTGCCAAGAGTCACATCTATCATTCATAAACACAGCCTCATCCCTCCTCTCTTCTGCCTACTCTCCTTCATTCTGTCTGACTGGAGTTGATAAAAGTCATCCATGGTGTCCAGAGTTGGTGCAGTTAGCCATGTCTCTATTAGCAGATTCATGCTACTTTCCTGATAATCCCTCTTATGCTGGTGAAGGGCCTGAGCTCATCCATTTCATTGTGCAGAGAGCTCATTTTTCCCATGAAGATAGACTGGATGATGAATCTGTACCTTTCCCTCCTGAAGTGATGCCCAGTGTCGGCACATATCCCACATGGGGCTGGTAGGGCCACTGTTCAGAAGGCAGCACAGCAGGGCAACAGACCATGTATATCTGCTCTCCGATGTAAACAATGTGGCTGTGACAAGGTCTCTAGATATAAGCAACTGTGAAGAGAAAAGAAAACCAAGTTGTCCAAAAAAGAATGTGTGTCCAGACAAAAATTAAAGTACAAACACACATACATGCCTAAATATGCCGCTTGCTAGTGTAGCACCATGTTGCTTAGTATAGTTATAGACAAATTTAACATGACAACAGGGTAGCCAGCAATGTGTCACAAATTAATAAGGTGAAAAACTGCATTGGTCTTCTGACTATAGTAATGCAATTTTACCTATAACTAATAATATAAGGAAAACAAAAACTGTTTAAAAACTAATATTACTTTTGTAATATTTTATCATGGATAAGCAAAAACATTAGTTAGTAGTGATGAACCTTAAAAGTGTGTTGTTATTATTAAGTTAGATTAATAATTAAAATAAAAAAGGGATCATCAGTGGATGAGTAAGTCAATTACTCTTTTTCTAAAAGATTCTAAAAGATAAAGTCATTGCCAGTTATCTTATGAGGCATTACGTTAAATATGTATGAAATGCAGATCTAGAACTGTTCAGCTGTTCACAAGTTCTTTAGTTCACCAGACAGTATCAACTTGGAAAAAATAAACATGAAAAATAAAAAACTACTATAAATTTAAACATTCATTTTTGTTTGTGTGAAATTTGTTGAGGATACATTAGGTTAGTGGCAAGTATGAAAAAAACTTGCTTTGTTAGGGGGTTGTTAGCTAGATTGAGTCCACACTGTAGTGAATTGCCACCTTATAAAGAAACTGAATTGAATAAACTGAATAGATCATTTGAAAAAGTGCATATTCTCTCACATTTGGCTGTGGAGTGATGCACTTGCTCATATTGGCAGGATGCCATGTGGAGTCTGTACGTCCATATGCTGGAGCTGCAACCCTTGGATTCAGAAAGAAGCCTTATTACCGAAACATTGGCCACAGGACATTTGCCTCAAATTTGTTTAAAGGTAATAAAGAATCATCTGAGAGAGCCTGTGCTGCAATAAGGCTGCCATCTGCTACCTGCTCACTATGACAAACAGGAAAAACCTGGAAACGGCACAGTCATGCTACTGTGCTCAGTAATTCAAGTAAGCCAGTTTTTCCATAATCTACTTTCTGCTCTAAGCATGCCGACCATTTTGTTCCCTTTTCACCTTTGACCTTTGTATTTGGTTTCTTTGTCCTCTATATGTATTTATGTGTTAAAACTTTTGTCATTTTTTTGTGGATGTTATTTATGTGTAATAACATGTTATGTTTATGTATTATTGCCAGGTTGAAAATATCTCATTTTAAGGGAGACCTGGCAATGATAGGCAGCAGCAGCATAATCTCAGTAGTGACTACCTGGTTAAATTAAAGTTAAATAAATAAATGAAAAATATATCTCTAATCCTGCACAGCTTCCTCCAGTTCTGTGTACTCAGCCTTAGTTGTTTAGGTTTTAACTTACCCTCATTACATCCCAAGATTGCAACGGCATTTCACTCAGTCACTACAGATGAACATTGACACCCTGCTATGTGATGGAATTTATAGTATTCTGTGAGAACTATTTATGAAAAGTTTTTGTGTACACAGAATGAAAGCACACCTTTTAAACAGTGTATTGGTTTTAATGCGTCACAGGGTCTTTAACTTGAGGTTTTGTTCTTTGCTACCGAAAGAAGGTGGATGTAGATAAATTTGAAAAACAGTCATTCCGATTTGATGGCAACTATAATGCAATACAGCTTATTGCAACAACTTGTAGGAAAAGTCCAGCTGATTACTTCCGGTCATCGATTCTGCTGCAGTTTATCATACTAAGCAGGCCTGTGATGGCAGTAGGAAGGAATGGCCACCACAAGGTTTTTTCTGTTTCATATTTTCATTGCATTTTTATTTTTAGTTATATGTTGTGATTGTTTCCTTATTTTAAGATTGCACATTCAGCTCTGTCCCCCCCACAAAAAAACACCACTTGTGCTGGAGACCTAAGTGGTAATGTGTAGGTTTTAAAACCGTCAGCTTTTTCTTTGGTTCCATGGTGAAAAAAAGTATTTCAGAATATATTAAATATACCATATTTTCCTGAAATACATTTTAAGTATGTTATCAAGTGGATACTTATTTAAAAATGTAAAATTTTTAAAAACATGCTTCTAATACTCTTTAAAATGTATTTTGGTACACTTTCTAAAAGATTCTTTAAATTCAAACTAGAAAATTTCTGAAGAAATTTAACTGGGGCCTGCCAAAGTTTGCCCGTCGATTTGGACCCAGCGTTCTGATGCTAAAAATTAGCATTAATGCTAAAGAAAGCTGCAATGTAGTCAATAACCTGTGGAGAGTCAGAAGCATGTGGACTAAACTTTACCTGTACCATTCAGTATGTTGGATAAGGTCAATTTAGCCAAAATGCTAATAGCATGAATGGTATCAGTAGCATGTGGGATATGACTAGCATGTTGTCTGTCACTCACTTACTCTATTCAGTATACTAAACATGGCTAATAAGTAAAAAAATTGGCTAAAAGCTTATTTTAGGTAAAATGCTAATGCACTGACTTGCGCAAGCCAGTGCCATAGCTTGAGATAAAATGCTATTAAAGGGTCATATTGTTGCACCTCCATAGGTGGTGCACTAACTCGAGGGAAAAAGATAATTAAACTTAATGTAATTGCACCGCCTGCGGCGGTGCACTTCCCCTAGGCATAGGGGATTAATGAGGCTTTTATTTTGAAATTTTCAGTAGGCTACATTTGAAATGGCAACACTAATTCCATGTGTAATAGTGATTGTGTTAAATCAGTTATATAATGCTCAAAGCACAAGTAGTTCAGAATACCAGCTAATTCCTCCTCTATAGTAACATGTTGTAGTTCTGACATGCTGCTCAGGCCTCTGTTTTAACTGAGTCTTTGCCATAGATAGAACTACAGTTATGGCAGTTATGGCTGCTGGTTTGTAGTTCAAACCAGCAGCTCTGCCTTTCTCTGGAAACCTTTGCTATAGCGATTGGCCCTCAGCCAACTGCTGTGTGTGTGAGACAGAAAGCTGGGGAAGGATTTCTATCTTTGAGACACCCATGAAATGCTAATGTTAATGAACTCACTATCCTGAGAAAAAAAACACATACAAAAGCTTAATATTTTTGCACCGCCTATGGCGGTGCACTGTCGTGAGTAGACATTGCAGAGTTTTATTTTGAAACTTTCAGTAAACTTAATTTTCATAACCACACTAATCCAATGTGTAACAGTGGTTTGGTTAATCCACCTGTATAATGCCAAAAACAGGAGGTAGTTCTAACTGCTAGCTGAGGCCTCCTCTGTAATAATTGAGTGTTCCGCCATGTTGTAGTTCTGACCTTCTGCTCTGCCTTCTGTATTAAAGTGTTCCGCCATGTTTAGAACTACAGAGTCTTTGTAGTCCAAACCAGCTGCTCTGCTTTCCTCTGCATTCTGTTGCTATAGTGATGAGACTGCAGTGTGTGTCAGAGACTTTATCTAACGTTATGAGACACCCACTCAGTTTTAATGGAAAAAGCAGTCCGAACGACTGCTTCCTGTTCAGGAGCCGTAAGGCCGATCCAAAAACCGTTTGAAGCATATGAGAGGGCTATTTGTCGTCTCATTTAGTCTCAGTCAGTCACTGCTCTCCTTATGCATTGCTAATGGCATGCCCCAATAAAGCACAGGATATATTAAGG